GAGGAAACTTGCCTTCTTTGTTTGCACCTGTGAAAACGCAGGGTATTCATTCCCAGGCTGCTATGGGGCTGCATTGTCCTGGAAAAGGGGGAAACAGATGGCAATTTAATAGGAACCTGATAGCATTGTTTAGGGTTAGGGGGGAGGTATCCTCTGGGGAACCGGGAGAGAAGCCTTCAGCTAAGAAGCACAACAGCTTGGAGAAGGCACTCACGGTGGCTACTTCTTCCTTCCCCTGCTCTGCTCTAGAGGAGCCAGAGGGGGTGGGAGTGCACAGGCTCCATTGTTTGCCTGCTGCTGTTCCTGCCAAGACTCCCCTAAGGAGCTGGGAGCTGTGACCCAAGGGCCTTTGGGGTGTGTGTGTTGAGGGCAGGGCTGGGGTGGTGACAGCTGAGTACAGGGATGGCATCAGCTCAGGAGTGCCTGGGAAAGGGAAGCACACATTGACCAGAAGTCTCTAGACCATGGGATGTGAACAGTGGGTTAGAGCTCTGGGAGAAATCCCCACTCCTTGTATGTTTTCCTTTCTCTGTGTTCTGAATTTCAAGGGCTCTTACCTAAATAGCTACAGCTGCTTGTGTGCTGTTCCCCTTGAGAGTGGTGAGGAAGCATGGTCTAAACCCCAGAAGTCCAGGCTCTGCCAATAGCCAGCTGTGTGGTGTTGGGAAAGTCCCTCGATCTCCCCGGACACTTAGCCCTTGGGAGTGTGCGTGATTCCTTCATCCATTTACTTCCCACTCTGCAGGTGCAGGGTTATAGGCTGTTGTCAGGAGTTAAAAAATGTAAGCATGGTGTGGTCCCTTCCCAGTATCTTTCTCCAGTTATTGCCTCAGATTCTATAATGTTTACCCCCTGATTAGCAACTGAATATCACACAAAGAATCAGAGTTAAGGCTGTTTGGGGAACAAGGAAAACAGAGGCTTGCATGGCTTTGTCTGCTTGGTGACAGATGCTTCTTTTGAGTTTGCTTAACTGAGAAGGTACAGTGAGTCACAAATGTTATCCTGAAACACTAAATGACAATGTCTGCCCAGCCAATGCCATGTCCTATAACATAAAGACACAAGCGTCCACACAGGGTTTGAATGACACACCCTATCCTCCACTTTTTCCTGGGTGCCACTTAAACGTCACCTGTCCCTTACACTGGGTACTGCCAGGGTTCTGTTCTCTTCCCTGTCTTTTCCCTGTCATGAATTTGCTTTCTGGGTAATCACTTCCATTCCCTAAAGACCCTCAGTTCCTCTGTCTATATTCTCTGGTCTGCAGCACCCCTCCAAGCTGTAAGTGAGACGTCTACTGGACATCTCCCCTCTGGTCTCTGTTGAGCATCCATGCTTTCCATGACTCGGAGTAGCATCTCCTCCTCCCCCAGGCCTCCTGGCCCCTCTCATCTGGGTTAGTAGCTCCTCCCAGGCTCTCCACAGCATCATGCAGTGCCCTTTATCACGGCATTGGTGACATCATTTAAGGTGCTTCTCCAAAGCTCTTGACACAGTGCCTGGCTCTCAACGTGGAGGATAAATAAACATATTTTATAAATGAAAGAAGGGAAGCAACTCTTTCTCAAAGTTTTTCTGGGGTGAGGGGGGAATCTCAGGGTTTTAATGTATCCCCTGTATTTATGAGACTTGCAGAAGGGACAAATCCCTAAGGACTTCCACGCCTTCCAATAGATCCTCATAACTAGCTAATGTCTTAGATTTTCTTGTTCTACCCTTCAGCATCTCCTCCGTTTTGCTGTGAGGAGTGCCTGGCTGCCATTGAGGAGCTGGTGACTGACAGATACCTGGGCATCGTTGCCACGTTAAAGAATAAGATAGACAATCGAGTGTGTCCAGGTACTGGGAGTCAAAGCTAATGACTTCCTTAAGTATTTCCATCTGTGCCTTCCGCAGAAGTGGCGTGCAAAAATAGTGTTGTGGAGCACAGCTGGGAATCTTGCCCTTGTGGTGGGTGCAAGGGGGTGACAGGGAGTGGAGGGGGTTACTAGGAGGGTATTACAGGATGTTCCTGGAGAAGTAATTGTGGAGACAGTCAGAAAGGAAACTGGTAGTTCACCCCACCCCGATGTCTTAGCACTTTGGCTGCCAAGAAATGAGTGAAATATTTTCAAACTTGACAGAAATGGCAACCCCGAGAGACAAAAAGTATGTTTTCAGCATTGGATGGAAGATTAAAATAGCAGCATCAAGAGACAAAACCCTGTCCTATATAAGAGCTTAAACACTTGCCTCGTATAAAATATTGTGAGTTAATATCTTTGTCCCAGGGGTTTAATTTTTCTCCTTGAATCTTTAGAGTTATTTTCAAAATTTCAAAGGCTGTTTCAAGAATCATGGTTTTGTCTAAGTGACTGAGTATAGTCAGCTCTCTATGTGGAAAGGCAGGGGAAATGAGAGTGGGTTTATACTAAAGGATGAGAAAGTTATTGCCTTCAAATGCCCATCTGTGACAGGAATTAAGTTGAGTTACAAAAAAAAAAGCTTGAGAGCTGTAATGCCTTTTAAAAAAACTCTAATAATTTTTTGGAAAGTTGAAGCAAAATGAGTTTAATTATTGAGTCACTCATGTAATTAAAAAAATAATCTGTTATAAACTGCATTTATGTATTTTTCCAATGCAGAAAGTATAGGAATTATGAAACTCAAATGATTAGAATCATGGGTTAAATTTAGAAAGTAAATCTGAATAGAAGTGATTCCTTCCCTGGGATAATAATATTTGACTTTAAATTTGATTATTAGACTATTAAAGGAATCCATAAAATAAAATAAAATAAAATAAAATAAAAAACCATGTACATATATATATATACTTTTTGGTGGTTGGCCGGTAAGGGGGTCTGAACCCTCAACCTTGGTGTTATAAAATATTTTATAAGATAAAAGTTAGGGTAGTTATATTTTTCATCCCGCAAGTGTTTTTTAATTGATAAAAAATTAAGTCATACTGTGTTCCATGATAAGCATTAAAAAATGCTTATTTTAAGAAAGATGTTTAGAAAAATGTGCTTGTCCACACCTTTTCAGGAGCACAGCTATCAGAATAGCAACCGATTTTCAAATTGATGTTTAGAATACACTAGGGTGGGTGTTAGGTGTGGAGCTCGATGACGTTCTTATTGGAGATAATTCCATTTAAGATTCTACAGCACAAGAGTCAGGTAAATATGTGTCCTCGGCTGGAACTTGCTTTGGCCTCCTTTCCTTACCCATCGGAAGAACATCCAGGCTGAGACTTCCAGGCCCTAGAGAGGCAGTGCCGCCTGTGGGGTTTCTGAGTTCCTGGGTTCAAATCTTCCCTCACCCACTTTTTAGCTATGAGATCTTGGGTGAGTTACTTTTCTATACCCCAGTTTCTTCATCAGTAATTTGGGGATAATAGTCTCATTTTTATAGGTTTGTTGCAGGATTAAACCAATTTGCAGACTGTAAAGTTTTAGAACAATTTATGACTGGTCCATAGTACATCCTCAGTAGATGTGAACAATTATTATTTTTTAAAGATGACCGGTAACGGGATCTTAACCCTTGACTTGGTGTTGTCAGCACCACAC